AATAAATAAATAAATAAATAAATAAATAAATAAATAAATGGATAAATAAAGTTAAATAAAATATTCTTTTAAAAATATATCTGTGAATGGAAAGAGAGTTTAACAGCTAGACAAAAGGACGGGACACAAGGGGGCCTCCTACAGTCGGGCCCTGAATTTCCACCAATGACCAAACAGTCTATCCTTGTCTCTTCCCCTGCCAGGTCCCCAGAGCTCCACGGTCCCCAGAGGTGACCCGTGTCTCCACTGGCTTGGCTGTTGGTGGTCCTGAGCCAGCGCACAGGAGGCCAGGAAGACGGAGAAAGGCCCAGCCACACTCACTGCCTGGAAGACCTTACCAAGTTCCCACCTGGGGCTCCAGGCACCAGAGGTGGTAACCTGGGCAGCCAGGGAGGAAGTGGCCACCTGGAACCAGTAGTTCAGCTAGGACAGCCCATCAGCAGTGTCATGGGACCCTCTGGGAATCACGATGCCAGCTGCAAGGAGTCTTTGGAGCTGAAGAAGAAAGCACCAGTCAAAACGACACTGCCGCTTCACCCCTCCTGCACAGAGCTGGCTCCAGAAACACCAGCCACGTGGTCAAAACGACACTGCCGCTTCACCCCTCCTGCAGAGCCGGCTCCAGAAACACCAGCCACGTGGTCAAAGTCTGCCTCCCTTATGGCCACCACAGGATCTCCATTGGGTCCCCCAGTGCCACCCTGAATTTTCCTCTTGCGAACAGAGTACAGGGAAGCCCAGCCAGTCTATGGACGAGTGAAGGGCGTCGTTCTTCTCAAACGGCAGGCCACATGACCTCACCTTGATGGACCGCCAGGACTCACTCAGCAGCTCACTGGCAAGCCGGGTGAGGAGCCAGTGAGCCCTCCAGGCAGCCTGGGGAGGAGGGAGGAACTGGGACAGGGCAGGGACAAGCACCTGCTCAGGTGAGGAGCCAGTGAGCCCTCCAGGCAGCCTGGGGAGGAGGGAGGAAGTGGGACAGGGCAGGGACAAGCACCTGCTCACCTGGGGCCTCAGATTCCACATTCCACCCTGACAATTAACCTGCACCAGGCCCAGCGGGAGCCAGCACACTAACCCAAAAGACAAGGTCAGAGAAAGCAGGGGAGGGCGAGGGGCAGACGCCGGTTGGGAGTCCTTAGCTCTGTTTTAAACAGACGCGCTTGTGATCCCCAAATAGCGATTTCAAATTCCGGCAGGACCCAGGCTCCCGAGCTCACCCCACGGAGGACCGCTCATGCCTTCCGGTTTCCTCACTTCCTTGCGGTCTGGTATCCTTCTTCACCAGGAAGGAAATCTATGCCCCGTACACTATAACTGCCGAGGTTATTTTGCAAAGTTAAACTGAGAGTTTGAATGAAGATCCTCAAAGCTGTGCTTTGGACCGTCACAAACACTGCACACTAAATTGCACACTAACAATAGTTCACTACCTGCCGCAAACTGCCTCTAGAGGAAATCACTCCCAAAGCCCCTGACACAGATGAGCCCTGAACAGATGCGCTGTAAAAAATGCAGACGCGCCCTGTGCCCGCAGCCCTGCCTGGATGAAGCCTGCGAGCCCCTCAGTCTCCTCTTCCGTAAAACAGAGCTGACCATCCCAGCGCAGCGCCCCCCAGGCTGCTGGGAGTGTCGGACCAGGTCAGTTCCCAAGGGGTCATTAAAAACGGAAAACAGCAAAACCATAATGAGGAAGAATATATCGGTCAGAAGGGCGGATCAGCAAGTGCCCGGGCCGCACAGGCAGAGGGACCCACGGGGGACCCACCGGGGACCCACAGTTCCCGGGGCCCAGGTGCTGTCCCAGGGAGGCGCCGCGTCTGGCGTGGCCGCGCGCTCACCTGCCGTGTCCCAGAGGGAGATGGTGAAGGAGCGCCACTGCTTCAGGTAGAAGGCGCCGCCCACCGTGCTGACCGTGTCGGGGAAGCGCCGCTCCATGTACCGCTGCAGCAGCGACGTCTTGCCCACGTTCACGTCCCCCAGCAGCACGACCTTCCCATCCGGCTTCCTCATCTTCGCCAGGAGGCCCCTCCTGCGCCCCCTGGGCGGATCTGGAGCGGAGGCCCGCCGCCCACAGACTGCCGAGACCCCGGGCTCGCGGGGACCCCAAACTCCCGTGGACCGGGGCGGACCGTCCCCTCCGGACGCCCAGCGGAGCAGGAGAGGAAGCAAAAAAAAACGGCCCGCCCGCCGCACTTCGCCCTTTCCTGGAAGGCCAGCCCCGCGTCGCCCCAGGTGGCCGCGGTCTCCCGCGAAGGAGTCCGGACACCGGCATCCCGGCGCAAAGCCGAAGGTTACTCCCAGGGACGAAAGGAAAGTTCTGGAGACGCGCCCCTGGTCCAGCCCGGGTGAGAGGTGGACACCCAGGCCGAGGGAGGCTGGGCCCGGTGACGAAGGCGGAGGTGGTGGGGTGTCCCCAGAGCCGGCGCTGAGGACCGCTCCGCCTCGCTCCTCCTAGGGCAGCTCGCCCCATCGCAGCTGATCGGCCCTTGCAGCCGGCGACCTGCCTCTGCGTGCGCCGTGCAGCCGCCACCCGCGTGGCTCTGAGTTTCCCGCAGCGAGCGGCGGTGGAAAGCTGCCCTAGACTCCAGGGACAGATTAAAGAGGCGGAGGCGGAGGCTGGCGCGGGCCGCTCTCCGGGGCAGGTTGTCGGCTCGGTTCTGCAGAAAGCCCTTCGCGCGGTTTCCCACTGGGAAGCTGCGGCCGCTGCTCTTTACCCTGGGATGGGACCCCTGGCCGGCGCCAGCACAGCGTCCCCTCGTCCTTTACCAGAGCAAACTTGAAGTGGTCGGAGCCCTTCGCCGTGCAGTCCTGACCGCGATGGCCTGGCAGACATCACCGTGCAGACTCCGCTGTGGTCAGAGGGAGAGGGAGCCGGGGAAGAGCGAGTCATTAGATCCAGGCCAGGGCAGGACTCAGGGACGCCCTGCTGAGGGCTGGGGTGCCCCAGAGGGAACCAGGTCTGCTAGGGTGACCAGGCCTCACGGGAGAGCTTAAGGCCAGAAAATGCTTGCTGAGTTACTGGCTATTTTAATCATGACTTTACGAACTTTTTATTATATCGTAACGTGGGGCCAGGCTGTGGTGCACAGGGGCCCAATCGGAGCCTCATGGGAAACGCCGTAGGACCTCCCAGGACACACTGGACACACACACGTATCCATGACCCAGGCCAGCTGAGTCGAGTAGACAGATGTGAAGGCCCTGTTTGGGGTGCTCGCCCCTCTGTCATGGCGGAAATAAATGAATAAACCTTTTTAAAACCAGGGAACTATGTCTTCTGCACCCTCCATGGGGCTGCTGGGAAAACCGCACACGGTGGAGAGGCCCTGCTGAGAACACTGGCGACACCTCAGAGGTGACGAAATCCCCCGGGCTGTCACAGCAGGGGCGACACCCGGGCACTGCAGTGGGCTCTGACAACACTGCTGTGTATTCCTACTGACTTCACAGTTCCAGGAAACTGTGGCCTCCAGCATCACCCTGCTCTGCCCATCAGCTAGTGGAGGTCCCGGGACCAGCGCGTGGCGTAGTAGTTGTGTTGCTGGACTCTCGTCAGTCGACCGTGGTTTGATTCCCAGACCCGGTAGCTTAAAACACACCAGGCGTGCGTGTGCGTGCCTAAAATCCGGAGAGGAGAATGGAGGAGAAGGGGTTGCAGGGTGGTGTCTGTCTCTCTCTGGCGAGTGCACGTGCCCTACAGCAAAAATATCTCAATTAAAAAAAGAAAAGAAAAAGAAAAAGAAAATGGAGAGGTCTGTAGAAAAGGAAGCATAAACATTGGAATGGCGCCTGAGGGACTCCAGGTCTGGACGAGAGGAACTGGGCTCCTTTTGGATGCCCGGCACCGAGTATTATAGGGCCAGCAGGGGCGTGTGGTGAAGGTGCTGGACACTCCCACATGGCTGACCACGGTTCCGGGCCTGGACCTGGGGCCTGCTTTCTCACTCTCCCCCTCTCTCACCCTCTTTGTGTGTCTCTCTCTCTGGTCAAATCAAAATGAACGAATGAATAAAATTTTTAAAATAAATATTTTTTTAAAAGAAAAGAAAAGCACATCTTTCAAGGAAAACCAGAAAGGAAGAGACGCACCGAATCACATGCCCAGGTCACTTCCTCCAGGAGTGCCTGTTCCGGAAGCACCGGGCGTGCCAGGCTGCCCCTACCCCGGGTCAGGGTGTTGCAGCCTCACCCCAGCACCTCACACCATGACCGCGTGTGCAGAGATCACTCAGTGGCCCTCATCCGTGTGACTTGCAGGAGGAGGTGGCGGGGACACAGGCGCTCACAGATGGGGGGGTGGCCGTGTGAGGAGACAGCGAGGAGGCAGCGTCTGCAAGCCCGGAGAGGGGCTTGAACCTTGGGCTTGAACCTTGACCTCCAGAACTAAGGCTGGCACCTGACCTTGGGCTTGAACCTTGACCTCCAGAACTACAAAACTATAGGCGCCTGTCGTTCAGGCCACCTGGTCCCTGACACTTGATCATGAAGCTCCAGCAAAGCAGGGACACAGGCCACCGTCCTGTGCCCTCTGGCAGTTATTACAGTACTAAGTTACTCTAAAAAGAAGAAGAGGAGGAAGGAAATGCTCCCGACTAGATGAAACGCCATAAGCTCTTACAACAAGGAGGCCAATCTCACTTCTCTAATCTCAGCGGACTGTGAAATTTGGGAAAGTTAACCAGGAAGGAAATGGCACAGCCCCAGGCCAACCTGCTGGCCCACACGGGGCCCCTGCCCGCCTGGAATCTGCCCTGCCCACTCCTTCTCCCCCAGCTCTCTGTGTTACCTGTGACCTCCGAGGGGCCCAGCCTCAAGGTCACGTTAGCCTTTCAGCCTCTTTGTGGCTTTGACCCTGTTTCTCTGCTTCCTTCTTTGTGAAAATCTGTCTTGTGCTTTCCCGGCTCCCCCCAGGGCTCCGCCCTCGACCACAGGTTTGCAGGTCGGTAACCTCGGGAGGCACCCACCGGCCTCATCTGTGTACCCAAACGTCAGCAACATCCTGGGTGTGACTTTGCCCCCCTGGAAGCCACCCAATAACCTGCCAAGACAGACTTGAGCAAGGAAATCTTCCTAAATACTCCAGCATCTCTGAAGACCTGGAAAAGTACACAAGAGATAATGCAGGGACTGGCAGGTGGCACGGTTGGTAAAGGCGCTGGATTTCCACATGGCCGACTGCAGTTCAAGTCCCGGACCTGGCAGCTCGATTCTGCTTTTCCCTTTCTCTCTCTCTCTGGTCAAATGAAAAAATATAATAACAAATTAAATTAAATAAATAAATAACTCTTTGAACAAAAGAGAGAGAGAACGAGAGAGAGAATGCATAGAACACTGCACCAGAGAACATGACCCTCCTCCCAGGGTTTTCAGACATGGCTATAGTTGGAACTCTTATGCAGGAGTTGGTGAATTTCTCCAGGTGTGTCACTGCGAGGTCTGCAGGCCTCAGAGGCACGTGATAATCAGAACATCCCCAACTCAGGCCCAGATGGGGCAGCGGCCAGTCTGACTGGGGCCGGGTGCAATGCGGGCAGTTTGCTACCCCAGAGCGCCCCCTGGTGGTGGAGACTAATAAAGACTTACTTAGACACGAAGGGCAGGAACTGTCTCTTGGGAACCTCTAACTACCCTGAATCCTCGGTTCTCTTCCCAGCAGGATCACAGTCTCCCAGACTATCCTCAGCAAAGGAGAGATGAGAGGCTGCAGAGATGGGAGAGCTGGGGCTCCCGGGGTAACAGGCTACCTGAGACCAGGCAAGGGGGAGGCTCAAAGGCAGACCATAATCCTGGAAACGGAAGACTGCAAAAGACGCATGTGCTAAGACAAACCTGCTTTCTCATGGATCTTAGTGCAATGCCGTGCTTATCAGCTCAGAAATAGACCCCATGTATTAAGGAAAAGAGTACTTCTCTGCAGATGTACTTTATTATAAATGTGTGTGTGTGCGTGTGTGTGTGTGTGTGTGTGTGTATTTGCCGTAGGGCATGTGCATTTGTCAGAGACAGGCAGAGAGAAAGTGAGAAATCACCCCCTGGGGGGAATGGCCACCATCCCTTCTCCTCCATTTTCATCGGAATTGGGGGCATGCATACACATGTGCCCAGCATGTTTTTCAAGTCACCGGGTCCAGGACTTGAACTCCACAGTCAGCCACCACACCACTGGCTGACCATGAAGATGTACTTTTAAATACAGAACAACACAAAATAAAATAAAAACTTTAAAATAAAGCAGAAGTATGCACAGGAATGAGACTAGATAAACACGTGTAGCGGTTTTCACCTGTAGTGAAATTCAGCTTCCCTGCCTCCTGTTTTGTTTTGTATATTGAACAAGCACTACTTTTATAACCTGAGTAAAAATACATGTATGCGTACGTGTCGTGTGCACACGCAGAGATGATGAGCTGAGAGACGTGCTCCCCGCCACTGCCCAGGGCAGGTGTGGAGACACGAGGGGCAGGAAGCAGACCTCGATGGCCGTCTCGCGAGACTGGGTGTGACGGGCAGGCACGCACCAGACAGTCACAGCAAGCCCTTGGTTCCCTGGTGTGCAAGCTCCTCACCTAGCTGCTCACGGGCCGAGTGCCACGGTGTCCAGCCTTCCAGGACGTCGTCGCTCATCCGGTGTGAAGGTGCAGGCTCAGGACACGCTCGCTCGTGACAAAGGCCCACCAGATGTCCTGGGGAGGGAGAACAGCCGGGAGTGAGAAGGAGCAAAGGTGACCGGCCACCACCCTGAGAAGTCATTTCTCAAGGACTACTGATTTGGGGTTGTGTTTGTTCAGGAACTTCTTGGAAATGTGTCGTCACATCTGCAAGCTGGTTAAGCAACTTTTGATAAGCTGTTCTTGAAAAGAGTGTTGTGCGTTCTGTGAATTTTGACAAACGGATGATGACGTGCCCTGCATCGTCAGTTTCACGGCCCCCAAATCCTCTGGGCTCCACCTCTTCGTGCCTCTCTCCCCTTCCCACCCCAGCAACCACTGGTCTTTTCCCGCCCCCACAGTTTGCCTTTTCTGGAATGTCGCACAGCTGGACTCAGGCAGTGCATAGCTTTCTCAGAATGCTTTATTTTAAATCATTTTTTTAATTGCTAAGAGGCATCTCCACCCAGAGAGAGTGAGAGCCACAGTGAGAGCAAGCACGCATATGCACACC